TCCTGGTTTGGGGCCTGAAGGAACCTCAAGAGACAACTGGGTGAAGCAGGGTGGCCTTTGGTCTGATCTTGCAGAACTCTTTTGATGTTCTCACTAGAATCAAGAGAATGGTTTGCAGCACACAGCAGCCTCACATCACATCAGGGGCATTTCAGATGGCCGGCGGATGGCCATCACGTCACCCAAGTCCTCTGTTCCCCAGTGGCTGCTCCTGGGGGAAATGGCTCGCTCGTGCTTACATGGCGGAAGGAAAAGCTAGAGTCATAAGATTGGTGGGAGCATCGGGGCACAGCGAGTCCCCTCCGCCAGGCCCAAAGCAGATGCTTGACTTTTAAAACAGGGAATTCTGAAGCTGTTTCCCCCTAAAGCTGCTGGTGCTTGGACAAATGGGTCAGTTAAGAAAGAGAAAGTCGGAGATCACGATAATTGCTGCATTTTAGATGCTTTTCTTGCTCGCTTGATTGAAACTGCTTGAGGGGCGCTGCAGAGGAGGATAAATGGGTTGGCTTAATTAGATTTATGGCTCATCCTGTTCCCAAAGACTGGGGGCAGATGTCATCACCCTTGTATTCAAAACAAGGGTTGGGTCACTCCCCACACCCTCCAAATTGTATCAAGGAGGAATGGCTATGCTTGGATCCAAGCCGGGGTCCTTGAGGTAACTCTCCAGTAAGAACATAAGAAGAGGCCTCCTGGATCAGGCCAATGGACCATCTAATCCGGCATCCTGTTCTCACAGGGCCAAACTAGATGCCCCAAAGGGAAGTTATTAAGGAGGACCTGAGCGCAAGAGCCCTTGTGGTTTCCAGCAACCGCCATTCACAAGCATTGCTGCTTCCAACTGTGGGGGCAGAGCAGAGCCATCATGGCTAGTAGTCCTCTCCACTGAATTTGTCTAATCTTCTTTTGAAGCCATCAAGGTTGGTGGCCACCACTTCCTCCCTTGGGAGGGGGTTCCATAGTTTAACTCTGCGCTGTGTGAAGAAGGATTTTCTTCTTCATCTTTCCTGAATCTTCCAACATCCAGCTTCATTGGATGTCCACGAGTTCTAGCGTTAGGAGAGGGAGAGGAAATTGTTTCTTTCTAAACTTTCTCCATGCCCTCCATAATGTTATAAGCCGCTATCATGTCACTTCTTTCTCGTCTTTCCTCTAAACTCCAACATCCCAAAGGCTGTAGCCTTTCCTCATAGGGGAGTGCTCCGCATCTGGTCTTTAAGCTGCAATCATGGACACTCTTGCAAGGGAGAAAACCTCCTTGATCTCTCTGGGACTTCTAATAAATAAGCGTTGATTGCTTGGATTTGGGATTTTGCTAGATTCACGCCCTTGCTGTCCGGAAGAGCTGTCCAAGGTGCTGAAAAGCTCTTGTGCAGAGGTGGAGAACTTTGGGCTTGTGGGTGAATGAGGCCCTCCAGGCTTCTCTGTCTGGCCCTCAGAACTCTCTCCAGGCCATGCTCTTCACAAGCACTGCTTCACACCCATGAGTGTTTCTGCCCAGCTGGAATGTGTCCCTGAATTCTGACAATGCCTTGTTTGGCCTGGATGAAGGATAGAGAGGGGTATCTCAGCATCTCTAGAAACTATCTTACCATAGAACAGTGAAATTTGCATTAGTTGATCCACCCATTTTTGCCTTGGGTTCTATCAGCCACTGATACGTGGCCCTCGGAAGGTTCCACAGAAGGCAATGTGGCCCTTGGGCTGAGAAAGGTTCTAGTGAGAACATCAGAAGAGCTCTGCAGGACCAGACCAAAGGCCACTCTTCTTCACACAGTTGTCTCCTGAGGTTCCTTCTCCTCATCATGGCTAATGTTCTTGCCCCAGAGCACCTGTTCCTGCCACCTGTAGATCACCTGCCATCACAGCTTTCCACCTGTGCAGCTTAAAAATCAAACCATGTGGACAAAAGAACAGTGCTTTGTGAGACCTGACAATCAACTGATCCTTGGTGCCTGCAAAGTGCAGGCTTTTGCAGACACCGACAATCAGCTGATTGCTGACATCCTGCAACCCTAGCCTGAATGGACAGCAGATTCTATCTATCATCTATCTACCATCTATCTATCTATCTATCATCTATCTATCTATCTATCATCTATCACATTTATAACCCACCTTTCCTCCAAGGAGCTCAAGGTGGCGTCTATGGTTCTCCTCTCCTCCTGGTTCTTCTTACAACAACCCTGTGAGGTAGGTTAGGCTGAGGGACAGTGACTGGCCCAAGATCACCTAGCAAGTGTCATCATGACCAAGTGGGAATTTGAACCCTGGTCTCCCAGGTCCTCATCCATCACTAAAGCCACACTGGTTCTCGGTCAGGGGTGTCAACTTGAATAAAATATTGAGGGGCCCAGGTAAGCCCAATGCTGCATAATCAATCACAAGACACATTGTTCACACACCATTTGAATGGCAGTGCCCATCAAATTTTGGGGGGGCCCATTCCCTTCAAAAAAAATTTTTTTTTGGGGGGGGGGAGCAAATGGACATTGGCCCTTAGGAGGCTCCTATGCTCTCAGCGATTTGGGAGGCACCCACCCAAGTAACCAGTTCATTCAAATGCACTCACGTTCTGACTTTTTTCCATTCAGCATTGCACATTCTGAATCTGAGGGGTGATGCTGGAGGTGGGGGAAATTCTCCTTGAGGGGGTGATGACACTGGGGAAATTTGGAGACCAGAGACTTAATTTGACCCACCTCTGAAAATCTCCATTGCCAACCCCCATCTTTTTGGATGGGGCAGGGAGAGAAGGCAGCTCTTACTCTCTCCAGAATGGTGTCTTTCAAGGGCTTATGCTCTGCTAGGATTATAGTTGGCGAATCTGCTAGGGCTGAGCCTCTGAGCTTGTGTGTGTGTGTGTGTGTGTGTGTAGCAGCTATTTATAATAGGATTGTTCTTTGCTGCGTAGCCATCTCTCTAAACCCCCCTCCCATCGCCCGGCACCACATCCATGCCTCCTGTGTAATGCACCAGCTTTTATTAGCTATTAGTCCTATTACTCATGTCTGTGACTTTATTTCATCCCGCCTCTTTCCCTCGCATTGTACTTGGCTTGCCTATAAAACGTCCCTGACTGAGATTCTGAAAAGGAGAAAAGGGATCAGAAAGCCCAAAGTGGGCACCGTGGGGAGTAGGGGCAGCGAAGCCCATTAGCGGTGCTGTTTTCCAGGATCCCTCCCACAAGTCTGCCAGAAATTCAGATTATTTTCAAAACGGTGGCTGTGGATCGGAGGGAGGCTAATTATTTTTCCCAGCCCATGGTTTCTTTCTTCTTCTTAAAAAAAATAAAAATAAAAACCAGGTCGGCCTTTAGGTCAGGCCCCCTCATCTCATTTTGGTTCCTTAGTCAAGAGATGAAAGTGACAGGGAGTCTGGCTGCACCACGAGATAGACAGATCCATCAGTATGCTTATGCATTTCTCCAGTCTTAAACATCTCATGGAAATTCATCAGCATCCATTCACATTTCCCTTAATATACATGTTCATACACAGTCTTGCCTAACATATACAATAAAGGTATGTAACGCATTTCCTCTGAAGGCAGTTCTGTACAGTGGTACCTCGGGTTACAGATGCTTCAGGTTACAGACGCTTCAGGTTACAGACTCCGCTAACCAGAAATAGTACCTCAGGTTAAGAACTTTACTTCAGGATGAGAACAGAAATCGCGTGGCGGCAGCAGGAGGCCCCATTAGCTAAAGTGGTACCTCAGGTTAAGACCAGTTTCAGGTTAAGAACAGACCTCCAGAATGAATTAAGTTCTTAACCTGAGGTGCCACTGTATAGTATTTTGTTATTATGATCACCATAGTCATTATTTATTGTGTTTCTTAGAGATTTCGTTGGAGGTGCTGATATTTCTTAGGAGACCCCTCTATTCCCCTCACAGAGCTGCCATTCCCAAAGAAGTTTAACTGTCGTTCTCTTTTCCCAGGGAATTATGGGAATTGTAGTTCCATGAGAGGAACAGGCAGTGCTTTTTTTCTGGGGGGACGCAGGGGTATGCATACCCCCAAACATTTTGTGAATCTAAGTTTGGCCTCATTGAGGGGCAGTAGTTCAATATGAACAGGAAAATAAGAGTACCCCTAAACATTTTTTTAAAGGGAAAAAGCACTGGAAATAGGAGACTCATAACTGTCAGCACCCTTAATGAGCTCCAGCTTGCAGAATCCTTTGGGGGAAGCCATGACTGTTCAAAGTGGTATCACAGAGCTTTCAGTGTACGGTGTGAATGTGGCCTACGTCTACTCTGGGAAGGATTAACACAAGAAATGACTTTGAGGGCACAATCTTATGCCCAATTGCCACACACACACACACACACACACACACACAGGCTGAGGTGGAAGGTGAGAGGGTGGGTATGTTAATGTGCCATCAGGCCTGGATTGGGCGTGATGTCATCATGTGACATTGGTGGGGCTGGCGTGGGAGTCAATGGGATTCTGGGCCAGCTCAGTCTCTCCCACCATCAACCACCAGAATGTCTTATTTGGGGCTCCCTATTGGTGGGGATCCTGCAGGTGGGTACTTCTACCTGCCCCTGAGCTGGCATTTTGATGTTGGCATCAGAGGCAAGAGACGAATTCAAGCTAGCACCAAGAAGACTGCTCCATCTAGAAGAAATTATTGTTGAATGGAATGATCAACCTTCTCCCCCCACAACACATTGTCTGTGAGTTCTCCTGATCTCTCCCAAGCCAATTTAGGGGGTGTCAGGGCAAAGAAGAGGAGGAAAGCTCTGTTGCTCTATCAGGTCCTTGTGTGGGCTTCCACTGGTGCAAGCAGTTAACTTAATCTGGCCTGCTGGTCAGTTGGAGTAGGTGTGGAAGATTGAGCTCCACACAATCTACCATGCCTGGTGCATGCCTGGTGTGGTTTGGACTGCACCTCCAAATCTCTCCCTTGACTTTTCACAATTTGCCAGGTGGTTTTGGGCAGGTGCGCATGGGAATATATTTAGGTTCCTCCTTTCTCGTCCTCTCACAGGCTTTGAAGCATCAAGCAGAGGGGATACCAGTTCCTGGAGGAAATGTGTTCTTGAGGAGAGAAGGCCTGGAGTCTCCTCAGTGACGTCCACCTAAGGGGAATGCATCCCATCTTTTGAGAGGTAAGCTTCTGGGATGACGGGACAAGGGTATTGCTCCAGGGATGTGGAGTGTATCTCTGTGCTAGGAAGAGGATTGGTTTGCAAGTATAAAAAACCAATGACAGTAACAGTGTGTTGCTTGAACTTCTGAATGCTTCTTTCTATAGAAAATGCACAACCGAAGCTGGGTTGGGTGGAAATCTTTCTGTTTGACACTGGCGGAAGCTCAAACCGTGACTGCATTGCAGGCATAGCAGGGACCTGTTGCTTTTATCTTGGCAGCATGGGAAATTTCACTCTTCCCACCTAGAAACAGTACTGTGCTGGTCCCAGGGGGGATAAGGTACTATTACCGTAACCCAAGATCAGTCCAGAGTCTCTAGCAGGGTAGACGATCACTAGATGAGACGCGAGGTCCGAGACAGGGAGCCGGGCGGGGTAACAGGAACGATGGTAGGGCAGAAGCAGGAAGCCAGGCGAGGAACAGGAACACCGGAGAGTCAGAAACAGGAAGCCGGGCGAGGAACAGGCACACTGGGAGTGCAGATCAAGGACTGGGTAAAGCAGGTACTCCACAACGACGTTGCTCCCGCAACCTGGGACTGGGCTGCCTGACCTTTATCTTCTTCTAAGGCTGGGGGCGGTCCCGGCCCCCAGAAGCCCCGCCTCTCTTGGCCTTAAGGCGAGCACTCCTCCTGGGAGACACCAGTTCCCTTCGCCTCTCTGCCCTAAGCCTCTGCAGTTCAGGAGAGGCCGAAGGGTTACTGGGCCCCGGGGAAGGCTCACCTGTAGCCACTGAGTCTTCCAGCACCTCTGGGGCCAGAATGGTTTCACCTGGTGCCTGCTCTTGAGTTTCCTCAGCATCTAGGCCTTGCCCCAGTTCAGCCGGCCCTGGAGGCGGGGACTCCTGTGCCGGCTGGGATTCCTCCGGATCGCTCTCAGACTCGGAATCCCAGGCCATCACAAGTACAAAGGTAAATATGGTGCCTGTTGCTCCACCCTTTTTTCCCTGCTAGCTCCTCCCACTACTGACATGTGGGCCTCAGAAGGTCGCCCAGAGGAAAATGTGACCCTCAGGGTGAAAAAGGTTCCTCACTCCAGTGTACTGTTGAAGTGAATTAGGTAGGCTCACATGAAAGAGGTTAACATCTGGTTACCGCAGCAGCCATTTTCTCTGAGATTCGCCACAGCCCAGAGCTTCAGAAACAGAATATCAGCTGGAACATCTGAAGTGTGGGGGGCATATCAGTGCCTTTGCCCCTCCCTAGTAAATCTTGTATGTTTTGCTTCCTTTTTAAAATTATTTTAAGCCACTTTGGGGGCTCCAGTTGGTATATACAGCTTAAAAGGTAAAGGTAAAGGACCCCTGACAGTTAAGTCCACTCAAAGACGACTCTGGGGTTGTGGTGCACATCTCACTTTACAGGCTGAAGGAGCTGGTGTTTGTCCGCAGACAGTTTTCCGGGTCATGTGGCCAGCATGACTAAACCACTGCAATGGGACACCATGGCGGAAACCAGAGCGCACGGAAACACAGATTACCCTCCCACCCTCCCACCGCAGTGGTACCTATTTATCTACTTGCACTGGTGTGCTTTCGAACTGCTAGGTTGGCAGAAGCTGGGACTGAGCAGCGGGAGCTCACCCTGTCACAGGGATTCAAACCTCCGACCTTCTGATCGGCAAGCCCAAGAGGCTCAGTGGTTTAGACCACAGTGCCACCCGCATCCCAGCTTAGAAATGGTCTAAATAAATGAGGGAGTCTGTAAGTAGTTCTGTCAAGAGTGCTACAAAGTGCAACACAAAGCGGCTGTGAGGTCGACCTGTAATTGTGTGAGTGAAGGGAAATGCTCCTAGGGCCCAATGATGCACAGTCTACAATAACGCTGGCCACTGCCTGCTTGCTAGCTGGACTCTACTGGCTCAGAATATTCTAGGGTGCCAAAGAATGTTCACAAACATTCCAACTTCTGAGTGACATTGAAGATCAAGTCGGCTCCTGTGAGGGAAATGGGAAAGCAAGTTGGGCTGAGGGAGGAAAAGAAAAGAACTCAGAGCATCAGGGAATGTTCACAAACATTCCGACGGTCGAATGACCATTTCAGGATGTCAGAAATCAGGGAAATGGAAGGTCAGTTGGGCCGAGAGAGAAAAACAAGCAAATTCTCAGAGCTTTGAGGTGTGGGCTTTGGGAGCAGAAGCAAAGGATCAGAGGCTTCGAGGAGTCAGGAATGAGAGACAGGTGATGAAAACACGCATTGGATAAGGGGGCCCGTATCCTCTTGTCTGCAGAGGGAGCTATAGTGGTGGGTGTGTGGTGGAGCTGTGGGGCTGCCCTCCTTACTTGGCTGCTGCTGCTGGGGTTGGACATGGCAGTGGGGAGATCAGGGCTGCTTTAGAGCTGCCCCACCATAATCCCAGAGCCGTCTAGGTAGGCTGCAGTGATGCCAGTGCTGGCACAGCTCCAAAGCTCTGCACCAGCACACTGGCCACTACCGAAAGGTAGGTTCAGCAGTCACAACAACAGCGACAACTGGGTATGCGGCTTCAGGTCTCTCTCTTTTTAAATAAACCAATTAAAAATAACAAGGACCCAAAATGTGCTAAGTAAGGTTGGCCACCGGGCAGGGTTCCAAGCTGTCTTCCCCCTGCTCCTCCACCTCGAAGGTGGAACCCCGGTGGAAGACAGCCAGGATGTTTTTTCTCGGGACGTTGAGTGGAATGCAGCCAAAGCCAAACGCCCCATAGTGGGGGTCAGGTAAAGTTGCCCCACACTGGACCCAGTTCTGCTGGCCCGGCTCCCAGTAATGGATCGCGCTGGAATAGCGGTCGCTGCTGTCGCCCCCGAAGACATACACCCTCTTCCTCCAGCAGACGACGCCCGGGTAAGAGATGGCGATGGGGAGGAGAGGGATGGAGAGTTCTTGGTTCACCGTGCCATCGCTCAGCAAGCAGACGCAACGGCCGGTGAAGTACCGGGAGCCTTCGTTGCCCTCCCCGGAAAGCCCCCCGACCACAAATATGCAGTCGCCCAAGGTGACAGCGCTGGCCTCGTAGAATTCAAAGGCCATGGGGACCTGGGACCAGGCGCCAGATTTGATGTCGTAAACCAGGAACCCCTTGTGAGGGGCGGGAAGTTCGGCGTCATCCCTTTCCCCGCCGACGAGGTACAGTTTGCTCTTGAGTGTCACAGCGGCGAAATAAGTCAAGGCAAAGGGGAGGCTGGAGATTTCCGTCCACTCCTCGCGCTCCAAGTCATAGCTCTCGGCGCACACGAGAGTCCCGGTGCTGTCCCAGCCGCCGGCAGCGTACAGCCTTTTGTGGCATAGGAGGAAGGCATGCCATGCCCGGGCTGTGGTCATGGGAGGCAGCTTGGACCAGTGGCCCCCAAGAGTGTCGTATACCAGGAGGTTATTGGAGTAGGAGCCATCTAAATGCTGCCCACCGGTGATGTAGAGCTTGTGGCCCAGAGAGACGCAGCTAGGCGAGGTCAGCGATTTCAGGTCGGGAAGCTGCTCCCACTGCTCAGTGGACGGGTCGAAGAAGTGGACCTGAGAATCCAGCTCCTCATCCCCCAGGTTCATCTTGCTCCATTTGGGGAGCCCCACACACACAACGCCCTTGTGGTACATGCCTTGCCGTAGGCCTCTGCTGGCCCACAGCCGTTCAGGGACGCTGAGTTCCTCCCACGGCAGTCGGACGCACTCATAAAACTCTTCTGTCTCGGCCCGGACCTCGGCCAGTTCCTCAGGGCTCAGGAGAGAGAGGCGAATGTGGTCCATCAAGGCCGCGTGCTTCAGGAGGCGCTCATCAGGGTTGTGGTACACCCAGCGGCGCATGGCCCTGTAGATGGTCAGTTCGGAGTCCACCTCCAGGCCGTCCGAGGCAATTATGCTGACCAGGACGCTGAAGTCGAGGGCAAGGAAGGCTGTGAGCTCAATGAGGTGCTCGAAATGGAAGGCAATGTAGCGCGAGGCCGGGCGGAGGAGAGGCCGGTGGTTGTGGGAATACGCCAGCACGTAAAGACCCAAGCAGTTCTCCATGGAAATCCTCTCCATGAGGAATCTGCAAGGAGCAAAGACTTTTCTCATATATGGCATGGCAGAGAGAAAACAGGTAGACTGGGACATGCTTTCCCCCCTCTTTCGTAATATCAGAACTTACAATATAAGAACATAGCAGAGCAATTGAAAGTGCTGCTTTTGACCTGCAAAGCCTTATTCCTCTTGGACTGCCTTTATCCATACGAACTAACCTGAACCCTGCAACCATCATTTGAGGCCCTTCTTCATGTGCCCTCTCCATGAGATGGTGGCAACAGAAGAACAGCGCCTTTTCAGTGGTGGCTTCCTATTTGCGGAATGCTCTCTCCAGGGAGGTGCCATCATTACATATCTTCAGGTGCCAGACAAAAACCTTCCTTTTTAAACAGACCTTTGGTCTTTAACCCCTTAGATGGGATGTTTTAATGTAGCCCACTCCCTAGTCTTACGTATGGTTTTTGTTGTAAGTCATTTTTGTAAGACACGTTGATTTGCCATGGCAAAAAATAAGGAGACTGAAGAGAACAGGCTGGTTCTGAACTGGCTGTGCAACCCCACAGGGATGTGTCTTTAGATCAGGAATGGCAAAGTTGTGGCCTTCCAGCTCTCTGGACTCCATCAGTGGTCAGGAGTGATGGGGAATTGTAGTCTGGAAACATGTGAAGGGCCACAGTTTCCCCTTCCCTGCTTTTGATGCACTGACCTACCCCTTCCTTATTACCTGGTGATGATTTCCAACGCGGACATGATTTGAAGCCTGCTGGCTGCTGTGAACAGCTCTTCTACGTCTTCAGAGAGGAGCAGCAGCTCCCCTGTATAGATGTAATTCAGGAGCCTCTGGAGGGAGGAGGCGGTCAAATCCATCAGCACAATTTCGCCCTCCCGGGATTCCTTGAAGGTGCTGGTGAACATTCGCTGGAAGTAGAGGCTGATGGAAGCCAAGAGTGTTCTGGAGGGGAAGAGGAGAGATGCGCTAGG